CTTCTGGGTTTTAACGTCTGGGGAATGTACTTACTGCAGTTTTCAGCCTTCCTGTTGTCCCGGATCACTATTCTTTGGTTGATGGTGCTGAAGAGTGTTGTCCAGTTAATGGTATGATAATAACACAGGTTGCTGTTGTCGGTGATGTAGATGTTTCCGGCACTGATTTCCTTCAGGGACTGGAACTGTAGAGAAGTGATGCCCTGCTGCTTGAGGATAAGCAAGGAAAGGCCACTGAAGAGCGGGGAGGAGGACAAAAGAAACGGGACAAAAAGAATTATCTCCTGGCCATGACACGCATTCTTGAAGTAAAGTGAGGATGTCATATCTTACTCCAGGAAGAATGTTAATAGAGCATTAAAAAGACTGAATCGATAAATCTGTGCTCAGAATATTGTTTCCTTTACATGCTATGTAAAACATGACGGTTTTAAAAGTAATCATTTGACCCCCACAAAAGCTCACCCTTTAGAAGCATGAATATCAATGACACCTCCATTTCTTGTCTACATATGTGCCACTGACGCTGCTCACTGCCTGACCTCGTCCTACCCTCCAAATCTTAAGTTCCTCAAGGATGAAATCCTTTATTAAGGCTAAGTAATTAAATAAATGTTTATGGAGTGATTTATCATCTATCTAAAGTAAGATATTAATTCTACTCTATTTAATGGATGAAGGTAAATATCACAGAATGACTATCGATGTTTAGCTTTAATTTATACCTGAGAAATCAAAGTGTTAATTGTAAGAGTTGAAATAGGTATAAGTAAGGATAGAAGATACCAAAAATTAAACTAAAACTATAAAAAATACTCAGAAGGCTTGGACAACTAAGAAAGCATCTCTAAAAGTTGAATAACAACCACACTGTGGAAGCAAGTTATTATTTCAAGGAAGTTGTTTTTATTTCAGCACAGTCTACAATTTGTAATTAAATTATTTTTCCATTCTCCAAAGAACAAATGTACTCCCCACATTTCAATCAACATTATTTTATATTTTGGAGATCAAAGCTGCCCCCTCTTGCTTTATTTATAAATGTAAATATGTTCTGCTTTTAATACTCAGAATTTTTCACGTGTTTTATATATATATATAAACACATATAACTATAATATGCATTAATATAAAATGTCTGTGTGTATGTGCACACGTGTGCGAGTGTGTATGTGTACACAACTGGGATATAATTCAGCCTTTCAAATCGTTGCTTTCATCACATCCACCTTGAGTTGTTGATTGCAATGTGAGCTTAACGATGCATGTAGGGTGGTAGACCAGTTCCTGAAATATCAGCGCTGTGATGCTTGGTTCAAATGACAGCGCTGGAGACCGAACAAGAACCTACTGGTTAAAAGGCATTTGTATCCCATCCCACACACCAATGCCATTATCAAGTCATTCAACTCTATCTTTTAATTATGATAACATATGATCAAAAAGAAGGTTCAGTTTTATGATTCACATCATGTACTCCAATACCTGCAAACACTAATAATAAGTGACAGGCAGTTAAAAAATAAAGCTGAATACTTTAAAGCACAACCAGAGGTATTTGTCATTGAGTTTTCCTTTGGAATTTAAAGTGAAAACCCAGTACTTCGTGGATCTTTAAATCAGTGAGTCTGATGGCTCTGACATATGTACACAAGATGTAGAGAGACCTGGAACTTTGAACACATACACCTACCTATATAGCACTCTTCCACCAATGGTCACTAGGTTAGAAAAAACGCTGAAGTCAGTCATGTTTGGGGGCCATGACTGTATGTTCAAGAAACCTACAAAAGATAAGGGCAGTAAAAAAATTCAGAATGTCATTGTCTTAGTAACATTTAGTAATTATTAGTAATTCTTCTTAAAATACAATGAAAATGGGGGGTAAGAAAAAGGCAGCAAATATTTCCATTTCTGAACTATTCAACCTCATATTTCTTCTACGAAGGTTGAGTGTCTTGCCCAAAGTTTCTTCAATACTCAATAGATAATGAATGTCAAAATAAAGAGCACCAAATATATATTTAGTCTAACTAGATAAAAAGAAAAACATATAGCTTCAATTTCTTTTTTGAAATCTTTTGCCACCTTATCTGTACACTTAAATGAACTGACTGTCTTGGATTCCAAGACATTCATGTATATACCTAACCCTCCTCATTTGATTTTACAGTCTTTGATAACCATCCCATGACTGATTCATGTCTATGGGCCCCATATCATCCACTATTTTAGTCCTGAACATACTAGGTTCTTTATAAACATGTGCTAAGTGAATTCTACATATTACCCATTCTCAATAGTATTTGTGAAAAGTAAATAGAAAAAGATGGGCTCAAAGATCCACTGACATTTGCAAAAACAGTAACATCAACATTTCAAGGATAAATTTTTTTTTAATTCCACAGAATTTCAAAATGTGCACAAATGCTAAGGAATAAAGATACCCATCATTTAAAATAACATGTGTTTTTAAACCTAGAATTAGCTTTGAAAATTCCAATACTATGTAATACTTTCAACAAAACACTAAAATTCACATAGTTCTTAGCATGACAAACTCACTTAAAAAAATTACCTGTTATCTCTCGGACTGTCCGAAAGACATTCAGCTTCTCTGGGTCTATGGCTTCAATTGCATTGTAAGGGTCCCTAGAAAATCAAGAAGAAATGCAGCCAAATTTAAAATTATATAGAGGAGTGAAAATATGAGCATTGTGACTTATTTCATTCAAATCCAATTTTAATAAGCAATAGGAAGGTTAACACAATTTTATCCAAATTTTTCTATGCTAGATGCGGAAAGGGATTAAAAGGTGGTTTGAGGACACTTTGATGACACAGAATATAAAAGCTCTTCACTGGAGGCTATTCTAGATCTAGAGGAATGGTTCAATTTGACTATCCTGAAAACCTCCAAATATAGCAATTCTGTTTATTAATCATTTTATTTTATTTTGCCTTTAAAAGTTTATTCTTAATTGGGAAACTATACTCTTCAAATAAATTATGTTATGGTGAGCATAATGGCCTTGTGGGCTCCTCAAAGCATACTAAATTGCTAATCAAAGCTGTAATTTCATAAGAAGGATGAAAACAAATACAGGAAGTCTTTTTTTTCTTTTTTTTGCTGTATCTTCACATTTATCTGTTAGTGCAATCCTGTTCCTATCTGGTTTGTTTATGTTCACTTCCATAACACAGGAACTATTTG